TCAATAAGGTTTAAGACAAAAGACGATGATTAATTCAAGCCATTTCTTTTATGGAAATAAACAAATATCAGTTTTCAGGGCCTCAAGAAACCGACCCACATCTCCTCCACCCAAGCTATATAAAACCAAGTTTTTCCCGCTCAATTTTGAATCCCAATATTCAAGATGACTTCGACCATGTTTTTTGCCTTCGTTCATTTTCTCTTATTTATTCATTTCACTTATGGGTTTCTCCATTTTTTTATTATTATTATTATTTTTTATTCATCTTTTCGTTTTTATTTTTATATTTTGGGGCGACATGATTCCCAGAATTCCCGCCGCGTCCGTGGAGACTGGATTCAATTGGTGAGTCGACACTCTCTGCGCATGCCCATAACTATTATCTTTCCATCCGACTAGGTTAGCGTTGATTTGTGTCAGGTGACAGCAACAACGGTTCTTTCATATTTTTTTTAACCATTATTTTTGCCGCCTGCCTTCTATAAGCGTCGACTTACCTCCCCTTAGAATTCGTTATTTTTTTTTTTTTATTTTTGTCAAAAGAGCTTCCATTTCTGTGTCCTTCACACTGATGTTGCATTACAGTTGCAATATCCCGATTCCATTCTTCGAAATATTTATATATTTTTCTTATTTCTATATTATAAACTACGCCGTGTACAAAACCGAACAGAAACGGGTATACAATAGAATAAAAGAGTGTACTGCGCCAAACACCAAATCGGGTTAATCTGTCTGCTAACTTTAAAATGATTATTCCATAAAGAAGTTTATATGTATCTTCGAAAGACAAGGAATTAGCGAAGTGATTTCGCCATTAATCAATTTAACATTGCTAAATTATTCTCACGATGCCTTCTTAGATGTTGAATATGTTTACTAATGTTCCTGTTAAAGAAATCATAGAAATAATTCTACAAAATTAATGTAATCATCCTAAGATCACCCCTACGTAAACTTTTACTGTTTTGCATCACATAATTATCACTTTATGATCACTATATTATAAGAGGCACGGTAGCGCAGTCGATAGCGGAGAGTCGAGTTCGAATTCCAGTCGAATCAATTACATTCACTTACTTTGGAAAGGTATCAATCCTCTTCTTTTACCTCCTGATAAATAGCAGGACAAACCAGGTTATATAGCCTTGGATGGCAACTAGTCTACTGCAGAAAGAAATGGCAACCTACTGCAAGAAAAAAATGCGCCACACTTTCTCGAAGGTTAATGCAAATTGTGCATATATAGATTAACATATGACGAATAATCAAAATATTAATAACAGACAATTTTTAGTAGATAACAGCAAAGTTTTATGGAGGTTTTAATAAAAGAGAAGCAGTCAACATTAAATAAAATGTCTTTTTCCGTCGTGGATTCTATAGTGGAGTATGTTTATTAAAAAATAATGTTTAATCATGATATCAACAAATCCCGTCCGATGAAGTACTAACAGATGAAATGCCTCACAAAATCACTTTACCATTTTCTTATAATTTCCTCAATATAAATATATATATATATATATATATATATATATATATATATATATATATATATATATATAACCCTTTATGAAGTCGTCAAAAAACAAACGTTACGTAGTTTTTTTTTGTTTTTTTTTATATGCACAAATCCCTTTCATAAAAAAATAAAATAAAAAATAAATAAATCTCCATAGACACGCATACCAGACTAGGGTTAATACATCTTCCGTTTCAACTTTAGACACCCCCACCTTTCCCTGACTTGACATCCATGAAAGTAACTCTATATTGATATTTATTATTAACACCCAACACACGCCTACCCAATTTAAACAATTCGCCCTAGCTGTTACCATGGAAATTTTGATTTCAATTATTAAAACACGTAAATTTCAGAAATACGTTATTCCTAAAAAATTTCGCTCGAAGATGGAACAGAGCTTACTTTAACTCAATTTAATTCAAATAATTATATTGAAGTTTTCGGCTCTTGTTATGAAATATGAGACCTCTTATGTCGCGAGTTGGAATCATATTTTTAAATAAATAATTATATATATATATATATATATATATATATATATATATATATATATGTATTGAATTATCCATCGTTTTTTAACTGAGGGTCAAACAATTCAGTTCCTAGGGATTGATAAAAAAGACAGCCAGATGTAATATATACATGATTTGATTATAGTGGCGAAGGATTTGTGCAGAACCAACAACACTTTTTGAAGAGTCGAATAGTACGTGCGACAAGGTCCCCAAACGACCCTCCGAAGGTTTTTAATTCATAGTTCTCCTTCTCCTAGACATCCAAGACTACAGAACCCAGTCTGCCCTGCTATTTACCATTAGCTGGGGGGTGGGAGAAATAGAGGATTAACACCATTCCCAAGGATATTAGCACATAAATGAATGTAATGGACCGACTGGAATCTGAACTCAGCTCTCCGATTCCTCAATCCGAGCTGCTATTACTCCACCTGTCTGTTGGTCTGTGTGT